AAGAGAGATAGAAGAGGAAAAAGAGGAGGAACGGTGGAGCAGCAAGAGAGAGGGGCTAAAACTGTGGCCCCACTACACACTCCCTGACCCAAACCCTGGGGTCCACCTGTTCTGACCTGGCTACCAGGCCCCCTGTGGCACAAATGCCCAGGGCTCTGGATGAAGGCAGGGTATGTGTGTGTGTGACAGGTTAAGGGAAGGCTGGTGGTCAATGATAGGAGGCAAAGAGGACACCCGGTCCCACATCTCCCCAGCTAGGACATGGGTCCAGAAAACTTACCTGCATCAGAGAGGTCTCGCAGGGAACTGCTGAGTGCACCCCGTTTGAGCCCATCGCCTGCCCCATAAGTGTCCTCCAGGCTACTGCGGGCCAGTGTCCCATTCACTGAGTCCTTGGCTCCTCCAGGCTGTGAGGCGTTAGGCCGCATCATACCTTTCTGCTTCTCCAGCTCCGCTGGGTGGCAGTGGGGGAGACAGAATGAAGGTCAGGAACAGGAGTGAGACCCCACCTGACTGACCCCAGACCTCCAGGGGCCTTACTCCTCCTCACTCCCTCTGTCCCCCAGGCCTCCTGTTTTGCTCTCTGAACAGGCAGCACATGTTTCCCCACAAGCCTCAGCTTCATCTCTGAGGCTCTCTCAGTGCCCAGCCTGTCTCACACCATCTCCTCTTGCTCAGCCTTCCCTTCATCCCTTTCAATGCTTGCTCTTCTTGCTCCTTTCTCCTTCCTTTCACTCTCCTTACTTCTGCCCTTCCCTACCCTCTCTCAATCTGGTTTCCCAAACCACCCTTGCCCTTTAACAAAGTTTCTCAGAAGATGGTTCACCAGAGGGACAGGGAGGCCCTTGCAGACTATGGCAAAGGGAAGTCTTCCCAGAGCTCACTTAGTTCTCCAATACCTTGCTCCAGAGCAGACAGACTCCTGGAAGAACAGGAGCAGGAAACTGACAGGAATTGAATCCTCTATTATGTGCCGGCAGTAGGCTGGGTGCTATACATCATACTTCATCTGTCTCAAGCCTCACAACAGTTCTGAGGTAAGTATTATCATCCACGTTTTTCAAAGGAAGAAATTGAGAATCAGAGAAGTCATAGAGTTTGCCTAGGGTCATACAGCTAGAAAAGGTGGAGCTGACATTCAGAAAGCAGGTGTGCCTGACTTTGGAGCCTGTGCTGTCTGGGCTTCCCTACACCCTCACCTCCCTACAGAGGTCAAGGATACTTTTGTCTATTGCCCTCCCTTCCTCTTAGTATGCTAATCATTCTCTCTGAATTTCCCCAGGGTCTCTTGTTGTTGTTGTTTGCCTTCGAGTCAACCCCGACTCATAGCGACCCCTCCTTGGGTTTCCAAGGCAGTATCACTACAGGAAGTAGGATTGCCCAACCTTCCTTCCGAGGAGTGGCTGGTGGGTTTGAACC